AAACAAAACTCATTTCTCTGCAGACATGAGTTATGATCGAAGATATTTGCGTCGACTGCAGTGTAACATGAAAGAGGTAACAAATCTGATTGATTTTACTCAGAACAACTGAACGGCTGAAGAAGGGAGCGCAGTGGAAGTCTGTGTAAAAACACATCCAAACTTCAGTTTCTTTAAGGCTGCTGCGTTATTTATTCATGTCCTGAAACTCTGGGTTTGTTCATGGTGGAACTTTTTACTGCTTTCTTTTACTTAGAGACATTAAACGTATCAATGCGCATATACAACGTCAGTCAATACACACAGGGGTATTATTACGCTAGGAAAAATAGATCCATATACTACATTTCCTTCCCTTTTAGATAAATGCATTATGAACTGTATGCGTCACAAAACACTATACTCATGTATAAACATACAAAATAACTTTTTTAAAGTTGTGTTTCAGAGTCCACGACAATAAAACATATGCACAAGTTGCACATTACAAGTCAAGTCTCTTGGGGGGCGTTCTGTGCCTTTCAGGATAACGCCTCTGGACCTGTGGAGAAACATCATGGTTAACAAGAATTTTATCAGGGACAAGAGTCTCTGTTGCAGGTGTCACATCAGTGTCAGTGACAGGATCGTCACTGAGGGGGTACAGCTGGAGATGGCAAGGTGTTGGTCTTTGGCTGCGTGTCCAGAATCTGATCCATGTGACGTCTCCAGGTGTGTTCTCCAACATCAACAGTGTACATCAGTGGTTTGTTTCTTGTGGCTATTTTACCAGGGGTCCACTTGTCTTCTTGGTAGTCACGTGCTAGGACTTCCTGTCCAATCTCAAAGCTCCTTGCAGCCTTACTAGGCAAGTGACTGAACTGTTTGTCCTGTACATCTTTCCGCAGATTGGGTTTTATGAGATCTATGCGAGACCTGAGGTTTCTGTTCATGAACAGCATTGCGGGTGTTTGGTTTGTCATATCATGAATGGAGTTTCTATATACAAAGAGGAAGTTGTCAGTCTTGTGCTGGAGAGAAATGTCCTCCTTCTCCATAGACTTAATTGAGTTCTTGAAGGTTTGGACAAACCTTTCAGCCAGTCCATTTGTGGCTGGGTGGTGAGGTGCAGATACAGTGCCTTGCGAAAGTATTCGGCCCCCTTGAACTTTGCGACCTTTTGCCACATTTCAGGCTTCAAACATAAAGATATAAACTGTAATTTTTTGTGAAGAATCAACAACAAGTGGGACACAATCATGAAGTGGAACAAAATTTATTGGATATTTCAAACTTTTTTAACAAATAAAAAACTGAAAAATTGGGCGTGCAAAATTATTCAGCCCCCTTAAGTTAATACTTTGTAGCGCCACCTTTTGCTGCGATTACAGCTGTAAGTCACTTGGGGTATGTCTCTATCAGTTTTGCACATCAAGAGACTTAAATTTTGCCCATTCCTCCTTGCAAAACAGCTCGAGCTCAGTGAGGTTGGATAGAGAGCGTTTGTGAACAGCAGTTTTCAGTTCTTTTCACAGATTCTCGATTGGATTCAGGTCTGGACTTTGACTTGGCCATTCTAACACCTGGATATGTTTATTTGTGAACCATTCCAATGTAGATTTTGCTTTATGTTTTGGATCATTGTCTTGTTGGAAGACAAATCTCCATCCCAGTCTCAGGTCTTTTGCAGACACCATCAGGTTTCCTTCCAGAATGGTCCTGTATTTGGCTCCATCCATCTTCCCATCAATTTTAACCATCTCCCCTGTCCCTGCTGAAGAAAAGCAGGCCCAAACAATGATGCTGCCACCACCATGTTTGACAATGGGGATGGTGTGTTCAGGGTGATGAGCTGTGTTGCCTTTACGCCAAACATAACGTTTTGCATTGTTGCCAAAAAGTTCGATTTAGGTTTCATCTGACCAGAGCACCTTCTTCCACATGTTTGGTGTGTCTCCCAGGTGGCTTGTGGCAAACTTTAAACGACACTTTTTATGGATATCTTTAAGAAATGGCTTTCTTCTTGCCACTCTTCCATAAAGGCCAGATTTGTGCAGTATACGACTGATTGTTGTCCTATGGACAGAGTCTCCCACCTCAGCTGTAGATCGCTGCAGTTCATCCAGAGTGATCATGGGCCTCTTGGCTGCATCTCTGATCAGTCTTCTCCTTGTATGAACTGAAAGTTTAGAGGGACGGCCAGGTCTTGGTAGATTTGCAGTGGTCTGATACTCCTTCCATTTCAATATTATCGCTTGCACAGTGCTCCTTGGGATGTTTAAAGCTTGGGAAATCTTTTTGTATCCAAATCCGGCTTTAAACTTCTCCACAACAGTATCTCGGACCTGCCTGGTGTGTTCCTTGTTCTTCATGATGCTCTCTGCGCTTTAAACAGACCTCTGGGGGCTGAATAATTTTGCATGCCCAATTTTTCAGTTTTTTATTTGTTAAAAAAGTTTGAAATATCCAATAAATTTCGTTCCACTTCATGATTGTGTCCCACTTGTTGTTGATTCTTCACAAAAAATTACAGTTTTATATCTTTATGTTTGAAGCCTGAAATGTGGCAAAAGGTCGCAAAGTTCAAGGGGGCCGAATACTTTCGCAAGGCACTGTATGAAGTGTTTAATGCCGTTTTTCTTCATGAATAGTCAGAACTCCTCTGAAACAAACTGTGGCCCGTTATCACTCACAATTTGTTCAGCTAAGCCATTTCTGGAAAAAAAAATTGATCTAAGAGCACTCACAGTCTTTTCGGATGTGGTTGACTTCATTAGTATCACCTCCGGCCACTTGGAATGAGCATCGAAAGCAATCAGGAACATAAAGTTCATGAAAGGCCCAGCAAAGTCGACATGCACTCTTTGCCATGGTGCAGACGGCCACTCCCATGGGTGAAGAAGCGCTTGTGGTGTCTCATTTTGTACTTTGTGGCGTCCTGAGCAGGTTTTGGTAAGGTCTTCAATTTGCTTATCTATACCCGGCCACCAGACGTAGCTTCGGGCTAGACTTTTTAGTTTAACAGTGCCCAAGTGCCCTTCATGGAGATTCTCTAATACTCCGGTGCGCAGTTTAGAAGGGACTACAACATGAGATCCACACATCAGAGTTCCCTGACATACAGAGAGTTGGTCTCATCTGACTGAGAACTCTGGAAACATTGGGTTACCTTGGGCTGGCCATCCTTGCATTGTGACGGTGTAGACTTTTGACAACGTTTCCCTTTGTATTTCAGCATTTGTCACTGGCAGCTGGTCCACCACTGCAGTATGGAACACGTCCAATGGGTCCAGGGAAGAAGTGTTTTCTTCTTCTGTCATCGACAGTGGCAGTCAGGACAAGCCTTCGGCATTGCTGTGTTACTTGGTACCTTTCAACTCAATGTCATAAGAGTGAGCTCCTAAGAAATGTGCCCAATGCTGCAAGTGAGTCACTGACATCACCTTATACAGTAATGCTGTTTAAATCTTGGACGCATTCCATAAAAATTAAACACTGTTGTTACTAGTCTTTATTATTAGTCACAGCCAGCAGGTGTGGCTTCAAACTGTGGCTGACATGGCTGTAGAATGAACCTTTCCTTCCCACTTCTGCCAAGTCCTGTCATGATTCGGTTCCGCTGTTTCCGGTCAGGCTTTTATTTTCGCATCACTTCCTGTTTTGTTTCACCTCAGTTTTGGCCCTTTTCTTTAACCATCATTAGTTCACCTGTTCCTTATTGTTTGCACCTGTTTTTCGTTTCCTTTTAGGCAGCGTCCTCCCACAGGACGCTGCCAGATTGTTCTAGACCCCAGCTCTGACTTTCCAGCATTCATATCTTGCCTGATTCTCCGTGTCTGACCTCCGATTCTGTTTTGTTTGACTACCGTTTTTTGCCTGTGCCCTTCTAGTTCTGATTGCCTGCAGTATACCGACCTCTGAGCTATTTCCCTTGACTACCCGAATCTGGATCTCCCTGGCTATTCCTGTCTAACGGCGCCGACCCTGGATTGTTTGATTGACCTGATTTTGCTTCTCGGACTTTGTATTATTTTTT